TGACAAGCTTATATATTAGGAAGTGGGTGTGGTTTTTCCTAATTATTCAAACATTTAAAGAGATGTTGATTCGCATACATCGGAATTTGTGAGAATATTGTTATCAGATGTAAATTGGATAGATGAGAACCATGAACACAAAGATGTTAATTTGAATAACTAATGTAAGCAATTGAAAAGAAAGGCATTTCCTTTATACAAGGATAAAAAACATGGGAATGTGAATTTAGACAGATGTTAAGATGAGATAATTAATGAATCATGAATCATGAATCATGGAAAGCATTCCCATCTTATACAAAATTTATTTTAATTTTCGCGACTTTCGCGACATTGGCATCTCATTTATCGGAAAAAGAAACTGAACTGATATCAAGCGGAGAAAAGGAATGGTTGATTGAGAATTCAACAGATGAAACATCACCACCATATCACATTAAGGGAGATTGACTTCTTATCTTGCTAATCATATTTTCCTGCAAAACCCTGATTGATAAAATAAAGATGTCATTAGCAATCAGCACTGGTTTTCTTGAAATATTTGTGTCAACTACAACATATACCGGGATATTCGCAGTTTCTGTAAGCAGGCAAGTTAGCCATTTTTCGAAATAATTTGCTTCTTCTAATTTCGTTTTAATTCTGGACGATGTCTTTATCGAAAGCAAAACCCTATCAAATTTGAGCCTTTCCTTCCAGCAATAAAAATATGAAGATAAACATTTGTTGAATTCAGTTACAAAAACATTTCTCGAAATTTACGATCTTTTCTACTCCTTGAATTTCTTCGCATAAATAACTGAGATAGATCATCGACAAAAACTATTACCAGACTGTTACCATGAAGGTTATTAAAGGAAAGAATGTCTAAAGCAGTCTTTATTTATAATTTCTCTTAAATACAAAAAGTATCAAGATAACATCATCTCGTACTGATGTGGAGAGTCCAAAATCTCCTACATTTCCTAGATGAATTCTTGAAATAAACAGGGATTTCTGATTAATAGGGTTTAAAGAGACTATTGCTCATCATTTTACAGATCTGATAAGACCATTCCGGATGAGGCTAAGCAATAAAAATGGAATCACGGTTAACCCCATATGCAGGTTAATATTGCTTAAGGACAATGAATGTAGAAAATGATGTTTTAATTGGAAATACTTAGAGGAGAAAATTCCTCGTGTACCATTCGACGCCGCCCGAGCAGGTATTTCGTTGTTAATTCCATGCAAGTTCTACTTATCTACCGCAGTGAACGGTGAGGATCACATTTGCACTCGTGCAGTCAATCAGTCTTTATTTATGAAATCAAATATTCAGTTAAAAAATGCTCTTCAAATTTTAATCGAAAACCAGCTGGAAATAAACTAAACCCAGATGCTCGGTTCATAACGCCTCATCTTCCTCTTTTTTGAATATTCCCTTCCAATATCCTGACGTAACTTCACCAGTTCCCCTTCATCAATAACATCTAGAAACTTTATTATAGTCCGGAAAATTTGCAAAAATTACAAAAAAATGTACCGCTCAAATGTTTTGAGTAACATAACTGAAATATATCCCTGTTATCAAGAAATAAATCAAGATGCAAATGCGTTAAAAAGTATACGTTGAACATGTCATACTCAAAAATGACGATTCAAAGATCTTCAGCGGTGAGTTGTTTCAAGGACATTAAAGTTACACTTTATGTAATCTGAAGCATCCTAAACCGAAAACAAAAAAATACCATGAAGAATGCTGTACACATCACCGGGATTTTGAAACACATAATCATTTCAAACCATGTATAATAATTTTTGTAATACATACAAAGTGACAAACACGCACACATAGAGACACACACACAGCGCTAATCGTAATGCTAAACACGGAACAAATGAAAATATTTTGAAATCGAAAAAAAGGCTGCCTGATTTTTTTCCAAGACCACTAAATCAAACATATTAAAACAAAAAAAAAAAGAAAAAAAACGAGAAAGATGACAGATCCCTTTATTAAAGATTTCGAGACCGCACTTGATCAGAATTCCCGCTTATTTCCGACTTTCGAATCCCCGTCATTAATCTGCTATAACAGTTCGGATATTGGATGGGTAATGTTACGGAGCATACGTAAAGAATTTAGCAAAAAATTCAAGTGAAAATGAAGTACCGAAAATTCACTTAAATCCTGACAGCATATATGAAAGACCCTCTGCTCATTTAATTACACATTTTGATCCATAGAACTGATTGTAAATCATTTTTCAGATAAAATGCAGACTCTGGAAAGTGGGAAGGATCTCTGAAAACAAATAAAGATGATATAAGGCTGAAATAAACAAGGGAAAGAAAACAAAAGAACTAGCGAATCTAATTAAACAACAAAAAGGATCCTTCCAATCCTGCCAATTGCGACAAAAAAGTTGGCAAGATTCCTCAAATCAATTGAAGACATAAGATAAACCTGATTGGGACCCAGAACTCCGGTTCCACGATGGTAACGATTTTATCAAACTGCACACTTAACCGGGAAGCAAATGAGCTTAATAAATCTCCCCTGAACTCCAACTGTAGACTAACACATACCTAGATGACGAGGCCAGATTTCCAGACACCCTATCCACCTAGGAAACTGTCAGACTTATCCAGAATCTGGTTCAACTTAGCATCCGAAGTTCACGAGTTTTCATGAGAATTCCTAAATAGGCAGTTCTTGTACTGTCAAAAAATTCATCGAATCCAAAAAGTGACAAAAAATTTAAAGGTATACTACAAATTTTCCCTGAGTTGACAAAAAATCTGCATCTAACTTATATAACACATTTTCCATAAGAATAAAGAATAAACAGGAAAGAACGGAAAGAATTAAAATATTTCCACCAATTAACCAAAAGAAGCAAAAGAAAAACACACAGCTCTACTATACATGAGGCAGAAAAAATATATCACTTTAAGAAGTATTTTCTTGCAGATAAACAGAAAAATAAGGACAAAGAAGCCTTGAAAATATTCCAGATAATCCAAACTCCAGAAAATGGATATTTCCCAAATAATCTCCGGTAAATAGCACAGGGTACATAAAATGATTCTTTGCGATGGACAATTGTAACAGCGCTAAAATTTCAATTAAACAGTTTCGAAAAGCAAGAGGAATACAGGAGAAAGAAAAATTATGTGCATTATGAATATGAAACACCAGGAGAATATCATATTCAAGCGATACACAAGTAACACGAACAAAATAACCGGAAAACTCTTTCTTGAAACGAAAACTAACCGGACAATTTTCACCAATCAGATTTGAAAAAAAAAAACTGCAGAAATATTACAGAAATGACATAGACTGAAAAAACCTATATATAAACGACTGTATGAAACCGATGTAAGGCCATATCATATCTAAAAATAGTAGATTTAAACCGCGAATAAGCTAATATTAGTGGTAAAGCTAAATGACGAAATTAACTTACTCAAACTGTGTAAGGTAAGCTACATATGATTATTACAATTATATATAAACAAATGGTTGAATGCCAAAAATGGCTCTGCGTTTTAATTAATTCGGTTCACTTGTAGCTCATTCGCAGCTAAAGGTTAAAAATAAGCATTTCTTTATTTATGTATATACATATATGTATATGTAAATAAATTGTTATATACATATATATATACATATATATGTAGAATAAATTGTACTAAGGATGAAGAGGCAGCACTGTAAGTACTGTCAGTGGGAAGGTTTTTGCAAGATAGTAAGCAGTTGGGAAGGACAATGTTTTCCCGAGATTTAAATTGACTGTTTCTTCATGAGTGCAAAATAATAAGTGATATCATGATGACAATGCGGCAGTCTCCTGAAAGAATAATAAAAAAATGTCGTTTTTTGCAAATCATAATCAGTATAAATAATGGAAGTGCTGTTGCAAGAATGTACTCCGTAACGATGACAATTTTATCCTAGAACTTGGCAACTAGCGTTTGGATTCCCAGGTAGGAAGGAGGAAAATGAGGATGTTCACACGTAATCCAAACCTTTTTTTGGCTTGAATTTTTCTAGTTCCGTTATTTTTTGTGCTGATTCCTTCACTTAGCAATCTATAGAATCACGGCGGGTAGAGTATACATTACACTACCTACTGGACCATATATTAAACATTAGCAATAAGTCTGAAATAATAAGCCTTATTAAACATAAACCTTACCATTTAAAATTTTTTCCACTCTCTTATTCCTCACCAAGATTTTTTTCCACTCCATTATTCATCATTTCTTTTATTCTATTATTCTACTGATATTTCGAATAAAAAACGAATTTATTCATTTTCTGTGGAACTTATTCCAAAACATTAAAGAAAATTAGTTCTCTTTAAATCATAGAAAATCATGCCTTCCTGAATGCAATTCATAATTTTCAAAAATGAAGACAAGGAGCAATAAAAAAATACATGGTCATATACCGCACAGTCTAATGTTATTGTTACTCTATACAAAGAATAGATGGCTCCCAGTACCTGTTTCAGAAGAGTTTTTTGCATATCAGAAAATGATTCACATTCTTCAACTATCATTTCCTCGTCTTCACCCGCTCCAGCAGTACCACCTGTACCTCTGTTGTCTTCTTTCCCAGTAGGAAGCACCATGACATTATTACTAATACGATGTCCATCCCCAGAACCAATACCAGCACCAGTTGTTGGTATTGGAGTTGAAGTTGGATTTCGATTCACGTTCATTGCCTAAAAATATAAGGAGTGGAAGAAATCAAAGAAACAAATTTAAAAACAAGTAGCACCATTACTACACCTCTATTATCTCCTCTATGGAAGATAAGTGCATGAATCGTCCTGAAATAAAATTCAAGATATAGAGAGCTTAAGGATATCTATGTCATATAAAAATCAAAAAATTTTTTTTCTGATGTTCTGATGTATACAAACATCAGACCTGTAACCAGTTAAGGACGATTTTATTACTCTGAGTGATATTCGCCGGTAACTGCGACTCATTTAAGGACACACTGGAAAATGAAAGGAGTGATGTTGCATCAGTAAGTGTTGATGCTGCTGCAGCAACCACTTTGTTTGGACCGTCTATTGCTGCAATTTTTATTACTGATAAAACGAACAATAAGGACAATGGAATTTTCATCTTTCATACCATTGTGATGATCTCAGTGTTACGAAATAGGCTTAACTTTACGACAATCATAGTGCTCAGTGAAAGTAAGCTAACAACATTAAAATGAACGCACTTACGAATTGATCCTCATCAAAAGGGATCACCATGGTTGCTGAAATGGATGAGAAAATTGCAATGAGGAAACAAAGGAAGCTCTCGCTGCAAATAAGTGAAACAAACTGTTTATTGCTTCGGCAGGAGAAAACTGTTGATTATTTTCACGATTCTGATTATTCGCAACGACACATTTTCGCATATGTTTCTCTAGTGTTGAATGTACCGAAAATGGCATTTGACAAATGTTACAGTGATAAGTTTCCTGCAGAAAAAATACATTTTATAGCATAGGTAAAAAGACATAACAATGTAACCTTCCAACTTTTCAACTTCCCAACTTCCTCTTTCGAAAATTTTAGGTCATTTAATGAAGTTGATTGGAACAAGGAAAGTCCTTGGAAACTTTGTTTTAAAAAACTAATATTATCATATAAACGACATGACAGGATAATACAATTTTCAAGTAACTAAATAACAGTTTCTGAACATGCATGGATTACCATCAATTGGATATCGAAATTAACAAACTGATTACAAACCTTTCCCTGCTGGCCATGAGTTCGCATATGCCGAGTCAATTTACTACTCTGTGCACAAGCATACGAACACAACCGACATTTGTAAGGCTTTTCTCCAGTATGACTTCGTAAATGGACAATCAGATTAGACCGATTCGTGAAAACCTTGAAGCACAAAAACACTAGTGAATCAAGTTTAACAAATCTGGAATGAGGTGAAAAAAGACGCTTAACACCAATATATTACTTGCAGTATTTAAATCCTGAAAGGGAAGGAATTCAACTAACTCTTTAGAAAAAACAGTAAAATAAAATAAGTGTACTAATCTCACACTTTCCTATGATTGCTTTGTAGTAAAAAAAAACCACAGAACAGAAGGTAGGAATTCAGAGCATGCGGCTTGATGCATGAAGTTAATATTCGCAATTTTCGAATTAAAAACAATTCCTTTCCTATACTACTGATGAATTTGAATCAATTTCAGTCTTTTAAAATAATTCGAAAGTCCGCATACTTTGCAACAGAATGTGCAGCGATCCTTTTTAGCATTTGTATCACGACGTGCCGCTGGCTCAGCGAACGCTAGATCATCGCCGTCCACAACATTTAGCAAAGTCGCTTTTGTATCCTCATTGCTGGAACGAACATATAAAGAAATTAACTATTCATAGAATTAATGAAATCGAATTGTAGGAAAAAGGAGGAAAGATGAAGACATTTCTTTTACTACTGCATCTTTCCACAAAGTACTTCCAGCAGTTTTAAATGACTTTTTTAACAGGTTTACTTCCTGATCATAAACTGCTTTCTCTCTTCAATCGCCCTTATTTGACCATCTTGCATCAGAACAAGAATTTTAATATTTTTCATTGCCTGTGAGTTTGAATTTTGGCGCTATTAATGAGTTTGAATCAATTTAATTTTTTAAAGTTACTCGGAAGTTTGCCAATTTTGTTACCGAATATGCAACGATTATTTTAACATTATGACTATTACCCACAATGTAACTATGCAACTATAACTTGCTCCCAAACAGTTCTTTCTTACCAAGACTTTGGTTAGGCAAAGGTCTAAAGATGTTAAAAGACCACTGCCCCACAAAGATTTCGACATATCTCCACATTATAAGTACAAAAGAAGCTCATACTTACAAACCTCTCATCATCCAACCTCGACAGTTTACCGTGCAATGGAGCCCCAGATGGTGTTGCTGGCGAAAGCGCTTCAGAACCGTTATTGGATCGCTGCCTTTTGCCCCCAAATGTCCCTAAACCATTCCAAGGTCCCTGCTTCACACCTGGACTGGACAATTGATCCTGTGTCGCAGTATCGGACCTACTAAAACCAGCTAATCCAAGTGACTGTGTTGCTGAATTTGGTGCCACAGGTGACGGTTCTTCAGGGCTGCTGTAAGACAGTAAGTAAAAAACTGGTATTGATGTTTGGTACTAAGAGATGACGAATATTTTGCCTCCTTTCCCATGTAAAAATTTTCACTCAACGTCCTCTTTGCTTAAGGAAATGGGAGAATGATCACTACAGGTAAGAGTTGCATCACTGTAATTAACTATAACGATTTCAATTTCCAGAACTCGATAGAAATAACCTTGTGATTTTCGTGATTGCATTAAAAGCACTCCCATTGTTGTTCGTGGGGGTAACTGATGGACTCCCAGCACCAAGCAAATAAGATGCAGCATTATTCAACGAGAATTGTGCATAATATTCCTGCATCAAGGCCAACATGTTGGGTATATTCGGTTGCATCCATAAATTCTGCAAATTGAAATCAAAAGGAAAAAAAAATAGCTTGGGATATACATATTAGTGTAAGATTTCTTAAATTGTGTTTTTTAAATAATATTATGGTCAAAAGGTTGTCTTTTTGTATCGTTTTCATCTCCCTTTCTTTAGTGTTCACTCATATTGAAAAGGATCTATTTCTATATTTCTGTTTTTCAGTTCCTTTTTTTGGTAGGATTACTTCTGTTTATTTTTCGTAAACACAAATATAAACTCCTTCAACTGCCATCTAAAAGACAATACAGGTAAAAAGGATCAACAACCTGCAAAGAGGGATGCTGTTGTTGTTGTTGTTGTTGTTGTTGCTGCTGCTGCTGTTGCTGCTGCTGCTGCTGTTGTAAAGCAACTGCAGCCAATGTAGCGGCGGTAAGTGAACTGGAAACATTATTGAGAGCTGAACCAGGAAGAAATGGTGTAGTTGAAGCACTCGTTGATGTGATACCATTACTTGAATGCTCTTCATCGGTATTCTCTGACTGTTGTGTTCTGGAAAATATGACAGAAATTACCTAGTACATATTTAAGCATTCAATTGCATCATCCTAGGCACATCACTATTAACGTCTAAACAAATACAAATTGAAAATTTGAATTTTCGATACCTTTTGATACCGGTAGCTTTCAGGTGCTCGTTAGTTCTAGAAGATATCGCGGTCGGACTTACTACACGGCGTAAATCAGTCAACGGTTCGCCTGAAAACAAACACACTTTTCTGCATTTTCAGAAAGTCAGCTTCACGTACTTGGCGTACTGTAACGCATCAACACAAAAAAGTTGATCACGTTTGAGAATAATGGAGCACAATTACAAAATCACTATATCGTGAAGTATGCTCCTGAACACTTCAGTGTTCTTACTTCTGGACTCACAGTAATGAATATGTATTCAGTACAGGAAAAAGCCATCCAAAATTTGAATTGGTTCAAGCTAATTTCTGAAAAAAATTTCTCAATGGTACCTGCTTTCTCAGCAATCTCTTTCAGCCGTTCGGAGCAAAATGCATTCAGACTGAAGCCACCTTTACCTGAATTATCACACCAATAATGTGGATATAACTTACAAGTTTTGGAGGGCTAAATTTAAATTTAAGACATTTGAAATCATTCTTGCCTCCCACTAGAATTTTGAAAACCTGATAAAATTTTGCGTACAAACCATTCAGTTTGTTCTTCGTGGTGGAAGTGGTGAACGGACTTGCGAATGTGAGAGATGGTGGATGTACTGATGTTTTTGGCGTTAATAACGATGACGATGAAGATGAAGACAAAGATGAGGTAATTACCGTCGATTTTGGTAGTCCCATTCGAGGCATACATGGCATTTCCTCCTGCAGGTAACATATGTAAACATATTACAGAAATGAAATCATTAAATAATGTCCCGTTATTATACGAAAACTGTGACACGAGAAAAAAATCCCAGTACTGGGTAATACTAGTGAATGAATTCCGATAACAATGAAGATACAATCACAATCTGAAACAACTGTAGTTATTATCTACAGCTATCCACTGAAATACATATTTCAGACTACTGACAGATAAAGTTATAATGCACAAGTGTCTTGACACATATAATACACATGACTGATCACTTGCAGGTTATGCTTCCCACCTGCTTTACAACACCATCATGCAAGTTATGATAGCAGCAAGGAGGATATAATGTGATAACCTATTAAAAACTGATATACGTGCTTTATAAAAAAAAAAAAGAAGAAGGAAAAGGTTAACCTCACAAATACGAAGTCCATGAGCAATAAAGACATGTTTCAGCAGATTCCAAACATCACTGCATACATGTTTACAAGAATGACAGGTTAACGATCCTCCTCCAACCAAAGATGCATTATTTTGTTTTGTATCTAAAAATGATTTATATAAATTTTTATAGTCATCATTCTGCCCAGCGAAGATCACAAACCAAATCCCTGAAAGTTAATTGTCCATTAAAAACTATGAGCTTATTATAATGGCTGCCACAATCGAAATTTGGCACAGGGTTTTTATAATTATAAATACGAATGAGAGCGCAACTTCCATTAAATCTATTAATGATAAATTTTAGACTGTTTATTTTTCTTCTTTTTAGATGCATTTTACATGACTATGATTTACTACCATATGTAATCATATATCACTTGAGCAGACCTATCCTACGGTACTGTAAACAGCTTGCAAAACACAGAGACCCCCTTAACTAACTGCCTCTACACATAATCTAGCTGGGCATTCAAGAAAAGCTTGGATGCAATTAAAATTACAAAAACGTTATAAATTCTACCCTAAGGAAACAATATATAAGCGGAGCAATTTGAAGTATATTGAAGCAAATAAATAAAATAATTATATCCACAACTGATTTACTCCCTTGAAAAGGACAACAAGATGCTCAGCAAGTATGAGAAGAGCTCGAATTTTTGCAAAGTGCGGAATACTGCCTAATTTATTGTCCACTTCCTCAAAGTATTATTTCATTCCACTTCCACAGTGATATCAAGAGTGAACGCGGTTACTAAAGCACTAAACTAAAGTAATATTTAGTATTTCACAGAAATCTTTACCTTAGCTCTGTCATATACCAAATATACTTAACAGTTTAACAAAATCCCGATCTTATCAAAGCTCTTTCAACTTCAAAAAAGCGACATCCATTATTAATACCTATATAGCAGTTTCTCTTCGCCTTCTCACTGATGTAAAGCTAGCAAATAACCGAATATGGAACAGAATAGTGCAATAGAAATCGCTTGTAAATTCCAACAGAAGCACACACAAACACATACGCCTATTTAGGTATCCCGTATAAAATTAGATTAATTGGTATGAGATATTACAGAGGTGTTTTTTGTGTAGTAAACATATACTTCATATATGTTACTGTTTTTAAACTTGAAAGACTGATGAATAGCTCTTTTCATTCTTCCAAAGTTTTCATTCAGTCTCCTCTAATGTGTTTTGGATGCTTGGAGACATAAGATAGGATAA